TGATCATGTACTTTCACCGAGGTTGGGGCGAGATGGGTCAGTCTGTTTGTCCATCCCATTTTGGCTAGAGAAATAATCTTTTATAGACAATCATAAACATGTTTTCAAGAGTCAAAACTCCACTTCTCTACCACACAATGATTCTAGCCAATTACCTTTACCAACCTCAAGAAATGTCAGTTTATGTCTATGTCAGACACCTAATATTTTCTTTTATCTATTTATTTATTTAGCCTTTATTTATAAAGGTTTAGATCTCATTGTGACACAAAGTCTCATTTTCAAGAGAGACCTGTAAGTGGTAACACTACCACACAAAGTTACAGACAGACAGGACACTAAACACAGAGGCAACACTAAAATACAACATCGTAAAAAAAAAAAAGTATTCATTAAAATCCATATACAGTCAGATATAGCAGGTGCAAACACCCACAGATGATTTCTCCAGCTTTTTTAAAATGAGTTTAAAATCCGTGATGGTTATCAAACTGGTCAGCTTAAGTTCCTGCTGAAGTGTATTCCAGGTCGAGGGGGCAGAGTATGATATGGCTTTTTTCACAAGCACCGAGCGTACTGAGGGGACGGACAGAGTGATGTAATTTTGAGATCGTAGTCTATAGCTGTACTGTTTGTGTGATATGTAAGTGGATATGGATATAATGTTTATTTCTCTGTTCTGGACAGTAGAGTCGAGGTAACACTTTCAACCAGCAGATGGCAGTGAAAGACAATGCTCTGTAGCTGCTTACTATATTAAGGCATCACAGGTAACATTCATCATAACTTGTTCTGCCTCTTGCGCTCTTAATTACACTCAAGTGAGACACATTTTGGTTTTTTTTCAACAAAAAATACATCTTCTGCAAAATCTTACCGTAGAGAGCTGCTCAAAAGCAAACTCAAAGCCTTTTGTGTAGTTTGTTATTCCTTTAGCTGTGATGTTCTTAACAGCGTCCTTCAGCAACTTCTTGTTCCTTACGTTGGCTTGAACCAGATGTTCGAAACACGCCGTTGTCTTCACCCTGGTGTTAAACTGGGAAACAGAGGCAAGGAGTTATGACCTACAAATTATTCCTACAATTACGCCATGTATGCATATGTAATAAATGCTACAAATGCAGCACACACACACACAAACACTCCCACCTGGCCTTGGCTGTAATCAGGCTGTGGTAAACAGAAACATTCATCAAGGCCCACTAATTGCTTCACATCCTAGGAGCTCAAAGATTTGGTACCCATGGAAACAAGATTCTGCCATATTAGATCAAGGTTAGGCAGCACCATCGTTTTTTTTCAATATAAAAAAAGGTGAAACATACTCATTTCCACCACATATGCACAAACACTCCACCCACCACTAACAAAAAGCCTGCCTCCGTCTGTACTGTGCTCCAAGTTTAACTGATGGTGCATTTTTTTCATTGTTAAATGTCTGAACAACAGGAAACAGACTGTCCAAGTGGGAACAGAAAAGAGATTTAAATTGTATAATGTTTAATAGTGGTATATGAAGCACACGGATAGCAGCGTAGTAAACCTTCACATATATTGTGTTGCAGAACTATTCTAAAACAATACTCTACCTCATCGCTCTAAACTAATGTGTCGTACGAGGCAGGCAGGCAAGGAGGCAAAAGAGCCATGAACGTATGGGTGTGTGTGTGTGTGTGTGTGTGTGTGTGTGTGTGTGTGTGTGTGTGTGTGTGTGTGTGTGTGTGTGTGTGTGTGTGTGTGTGTGTGTGTGTGTGTGTGTGTGTGTGTGTGTGTGTGTGTGTGTGTGTGTGTGTGTGTGTGTGTGTGTGTGTGTGTGTGTGTGTGTGTGTGTGTGTTTCCAATGAGGCTGACAGCCTTGAAGTTCCTTTTAGATTGACAATAGCAGACATACACGTATCCATTGGACTGAACGCCAATACCACACGGCTGTGGTTTGACAAAAAGACTGAATCAAGACGACAGCACATAACCATGTTCAATCTCACACGCGCACACAAACACAATGGAAGTTCACATAATTGCCCCCGTAGCACAGACGGGGATCTTTTATCACATAATCTATTAAAAGGAGAAGTGTGGAAGGTGAGATATGGGAGCGTGAGGAGCAGGAAGTGACAGGAAGAGGACTTAAAGAGAGGGGGGAAGGTGTGAATAGTGAATATAGGGCTTAGAAAGCAGGTTTTAAAGCAGGAGTGAGATGGTGTATCATGTACAAAAAAGTATGAGCTCAAGTATTTGACAAATCAATCTTAGTCTGATTAGCAAGATACCATTATTGTAGACCAGCAGTTCTTGTCAAAAATTTAGAAAACGCCGTTACAATTAGGGATAAAACACGTTCTATTTAGATGCAGGCTGTGCACACAAATGTGCATACAGTACACAATCTAATGCAAATTCCACTGTTCCCCTGTGATCCTATTACAACAGCTCTTGTCTATGTGTGTGTGCGCGCTTTTATGTGCATGTAGAGGTACTTGCTTTGGGAATGGATTAGTGATGACACAAGAGAGAAGGCTAATCTTCAATCCCTAATCCCGCGGGACTCCCTGCTGCTCAGGTTTTGTGCCCTGGCTTGCCCACTGGACTGACGCTGGCTAACAGCACCGACACCTTGCTATCACGGCCCAACAGGCTGGATGAAAGTGACGGAGGCCCAGTGAGATGCCAGGGTGAGGCACCTCACTGGGCGGCGTATGACTAGGAGGCGTGTGGCGCAGTGGATAGAGCCTTGTTGTTGGGATCAGGGTGACACAGGTTCAAACCCCACTGCAGTCAGCATGTTGTTGTGTCACTGGGCAAGACACTTCACCCCAAATTGCTCCTGTGGGGATTGCCCACAGTATTGAGTATGTAAGTCGCTTTGGATAAAAGCATCTAACAAGTAAAATGTGAGGATAAGTGAAAAAAAAACTTAGGAAAGAATGAGCAGAAAGGAACAGCCATCAGCATTCTTTTGACCTACTGCAGCTGTTAAGAAAGTGTGTGGCCATCTTCCATGACCAAATGCCAATGTCCCTGGGCTACTGTTAATGAGCAGGGATTTATGGGCAATATCAGAGATTAATGATTTAGTGTCAGGTTACAACACCCTCAGGGAAAACCGTAAGGAGCTATGTATGTGTGTATGTGTGTGTGTGTGTGTGTGTGTGTGTGTGTGTGTGTAATGAGCAGATGAGTCAATGAGGGAAAGAAACAGATGAAAAAACAGAGAGACAGAGGTGTCAGAGCGACAGAATAATGAGGTTTTGCAAAGTAATTAATGGTGATTATGGTTTATTAAAGTTTATTGTTGTCTCATTTGGGTAGCTTTGGAAAAATTGTGGACTTGAAAGTTATCTTTTAAGCTCCTTAAAACATCCATGTAAGCCTTTCAATCCTTCTCAGATTGCTAACAGCAGTGGGGGAGATGCCGTTTTACAGGATGGTGGGGAAAACAACTCAGACTAAAAAGTTTTAAGTCAAAACTTAGTTGGACTTCACTCTTCGAACCAATCTCATTCTGTCTCAGCATGTGTGTGTCTCTTTCTTAGACACTCATACATCGAACACACTGAGCTCCCTGACAGATTCCTATAATTGCGCATCTTTGCAGAATCACAAGTCCACCGTGAAACAGAATACATTGTGTCCAAGACAAAGGATCCCTGGAGAGAGGAAACAGAGTCTGAATGGCTGTCTTTGTGCTAGGCAAAAGAAGACAGCTCCAATCTCTATAAAGACCCATCTCAATAAACACCTCCACAGGCACCCATCTTAGCATCACGCAGCTGATTGGCTCTTTCTGAGTGTAATCACAAGCGTGGAAGGCCTAGAATAGATGGTGAAAAAGGTGGAGAAATGGAGAGCTATGGAAGTGATTGGTGGGGGAGAAAAGTACAAATGAAGGGAAAGAAAGTGGAGGCAGTGAAAGGAGGAAAGTTGGGGTAATGTATATAGAAGAGGAGGTGCTCAAAATGTACAGGGAGATCATTCTTTGACGCAAAGAGATGAATGGAGCTATACTGTACTGCAAAATGCTGAGAGGAATTGCATGCCTCAATGATGAAAGGTAAGAGTGATGGAGAGATCAAGCGGGTTATGAATGAGTGTATCCTAGGGTGCACTCTTGTCCGAAGTGCAGCTTTAATTCCTTTAGGTGAAGTGGGAATGTACACACAAACACACTCACACACACGAAGGGAAAGAGGTGGGGAGAGGGCAGAGTTGTAATCCTGCACACGAAATAGAGCAGTGGGTATTTCATTAAAGGTTTGTTTCAGGGTGGCCAGGCCTCAGAGAAATCCATATTTCATTACGTGTCATCCATCTCTGTCTCTCCTGTGTGAGTCTGTGTGTGGGGAGGGGTATGTTGTACATGTGTGGGCATGTGCACAACAGTTCTCCATGTGTGTATATTCTTTTAAATGTACATAAGCCCATTCAAGCGCTACATTCTGAATCCGTCTGTCACTCTGCCCCTTTTCTCAGCGTGCATCATGCACCCCTCCTCTCTCACAAACAGACCACCCAACGCTCAGCAAGTGATGGGTTTCATAATACTCACATAAACTACATTGACGTAGTCGTCATCAGACAGGGTCTCTAGCATCTCACTGACGGAGGTCCTGATCAGTTTGAGAGTCAAGCCAGACACACTCCCGCTCCTGTAACAACAACACAGGATATCTAGCAGCTTCTCACTGCAGTCTGTCTGCTCAGTTCTTGTAAGATGAGAATTGACTCAATATAATTAGAAATGCTTCCGTCTTGGGAAATGCATAACGTTATATTACAAATCGAAGAAGGCATGTGTTACAATCAGGGGAAATCTTGACGTGATGTGAGAAGGTTATGGATCAATTAGGTTTGAAAGTAACTCACGCATCCACAAGGATTAGCATATCTTTGGGGGAGGCAGCTCCTTGAATGTACCTAGATGAACATGAATGAATGAAAGACAAGCTGGTCTGAGACGCACACAGTCTGAGCAGTTTAAGGTTACACTTTATTATGTCACAATGCAATTGCGCTGTATGTTAATAATAATACAATAATAATTTCTCAGACCTAGCCCAAAAACTTGAAGCCACATATATTTAAAGAACAACCAATCAATTAACTACAATAAAGTAACTATCTTATATAACCCTAAACCCATAAGACTATACATATTAGGCTTGAATTGGCACAGACAGTAAATAGATGTTTCTTACCATGGTCTCCTGCGGACGTCATACAGGTCAATCTTACTGGGGGTCTTGCGGGCATCCATCCAGGGAGAGGCTTTGAAAGGACATAATGTATGTGTTGATTAAAACTTTTCATTATTAAGGGGAATAAAACACAAATTCCAATTTCTGACACTGACTGAAATGTTGATCTTCAAATATCTGGCAGTATGCAGTGTTATATTAAGTCTAGCCGTATCTAATCACTGGCAATCATTTTTGGAAGATATAAAAAAGGTTAGAATTCTGCCAAAGGAAAAGTTTGCTTGCTGACTGGCTGCATTTTAAACACTTCACATCTACATGTTTTCACGAAGAGAGAAACTGCAAGGAAATGAAACAACATTTGAATCTGATAAGTGAAGCTCAAGTCACTGGATTCACTGGCTTTGACAATATTCAGCTGATTTCTATCAGTATGCTATAAGTGAAGAGCACCAAACAACAAGTAAGCGCTTGTCTGAATGCCTGTTGTATCATGCATGCTAAAAGGTAACAACAGGAACAAAGAGGAATGAATTCAGGGACAATGAAAATGCCAACACATCCTCACTCCCAGGTCGGCCTATGTTGACGTTATGTTAAGTCCCCTGTGTCGGCTTTTTCTATATTATAGAAATGTTCTAAAACACACACTGTTATTTACTCAACAATGTTGAGTAAATAACAGTGTGTGGTTTAGAAAATAATACAAAATTAGAAGGAAAAAACTTCAGTATTCTGAGCCCCTACTCTCCACATAACTGACGGCAACAAAAGTCCTACATTATTCAATTAAAATAAAGAAGTACAAACAATAAGTGTGGCTTGATATTGAGTAAGAAAAAGGTTGATAAACGCTGGGAGAATGGATCTGCGGGTAGCATTCGCTCGCCATCTCAAGTCGTCTACAACATACGTTTAAAGAGCTATATAGAAGCCTATGGACATCCCGGAAAGTTGAAAATGTACGCTAAGGCCCCCCCCCCCTTGCGTTGGAAAAAGCCGACACAGGGGACTTGACATCACGTCAACATAGGCCGACCTGGGAGTGAGGATGTGTTGAAAATTCATGAATATTAGACATAAACCTTTCCCATAAAGCTATATAGTGTCCATGATGACAGGGAATCTCATGAATAGAAATAGCTTGGCAAAGAAAAAACTCACGATAGCGTGCAGCACTAGACTAATGCAGTTTAAGATAGTTTGACATTATGTATAGAACCACATACAAAATCAATGCCAGCAGTGCAATAGAGATAATTTATTGAGCTATTTGCTCAGTGATGTGTGAACAAGGCAACTTTGATACATATTCCCTTGCTGTTTGTTGTTATGATTAACAGTCAGATGCTGCACGTGAGGTCAAGCTAATTATTATGGCTCATAAGTGCACCTCTGATTTTTTATGATAGGAAACTCAAACAGCTTCAGTGTCATATAAACAGATACACAAAGAATTAAGGAGGCCAAATAGGGAGGCGTGTGGTGCAGTGGATTGAGAGTTGGTGTTCGGATCAGGGTCACAGGTTCTAACCCCACTGCAGTCAGCTTGTCGTTGTGTCCCTGAGACACTTCACCCCAAATTGCTCCTGTGGGGATTGCCCACAGTATTGAGTATGTAAGTCGCTTTGGATAAAAGCGTCTAACAAGTGACATGTAATGTAATGTAATCTAAAATAACCAATCATGTTTCTTCGCTCTGTTAAATGTCAAAGAAAGTTTTTTTGCCTTTTTTGCTTTTTACCTGGGTAGTAGCGAGCCAGGCCAGTAGCGCTGCCGTACACCTGCCAGAGGAGGGTCGGGTCATCCTCTCGGTTTTTCCTGAACACGTCCTCCAATGCGTCCGACCAGTTCAGCTCATTCAGCACAATGGTGGCTGGAAATCCACACACAAACACATACTTTTCAATACACAAGATAAACAGGAAACACATGTGAAGATTGTGAAGAAGATTGTGTTCATCAAAACTTGGGCTACAGTTTACACCCTTGGCAATTTTTTAACTGTGAAATACTCTTATAATACTCTCAGAATGACACCATACATTTTGAGCAATAACCCGTTTTTGAGCATTAATATAATTATTAGTAATAAGTTGCTGCTGTATATTTTTACAGTTATTGTTGTTATCTATTGCGGTGCAATGTACACATTTTGACTTTAACTCCTCTATGTTTTTGTATTCAATTTCACCCTCAGGATAAACAAGTTAATACAAAACTAATCTGATTCTGATTCATGCCTTGATGTGTATTCCACAATAACGATCGAAGGACAGAGCATGGCTGAAGAGAAGGACAATGTGGACTGTCCGAGACATGTGGACATCGCGGGTCAACACATTCATTGAGATTCAGCCGCACAGTGCCCGCCCACTCACCCAGCGGGACGCATGATCAAATATTAGGACAGCACACCCAGCCTGCACCAGTATTTAGCAACAGATACTGAGGAGTGGTTTTCTGGCGTTGTGATGATTTAAAAAAAATCTTATTTAACATATCTATGTGTGGTTGTATGTGTGCATGCGTGTGATTGATGGTGTGTGCTGTGAGAGGCAACAGGCATTATGGATGTAATGACACAGCAGCCAGACAGCTCAGAGCCACATAACACTCTCTATGATGGATTGAGACACAGCACATGCTGCCCCAACTCCATCTTTGCTCTGTCTGTCTATATACAGATATCTTTTCCCTCTTTTCATTTCTTCCATTCTCTTTCTTTATATTAATGTAGCGCTGTATAGAAGCTTTGAAATGTGTCTCTGTACATCCAGATGTGAATGCCTCTGTGTATGTAAAAGCGTGTAAGATAGAGTGGTATCCTGTATTGGGTGTGACGTGGCTCATTGATGTGCAAAGCAAACACTGTTCATTAGCATGCATCTCTCAAGAGGGGAGAGTTAATGAAGCCTCAGTTGCCAGGAGTGCATGTTTTTTATTATAGAAAGAGAGAGAGAGAGCATGTGGTGTGTGTGATCAGTAATGTGTTTCCCTCATTAAGGGTATCCTTTTAAAGGAAAAAGAAGGAGAAAATAACACGACATCCCTTCTAGATGATGAGAAAATTACTAACTGTATGTGTGCATTTTGAGTGAAGACTGATGAAGACAGACAGGTAGGTGAAGGCTATCGTCACAAAGACCTATTCAAAGCTGTTAAGCCAAATAGTTGGGTGGTCAGATACACATTTATAAATACACAAACAGAGTCACAAAGGCTAACCCAGTGGTCATATGTTGCTTTTTAGTGTTTCCAGTGGTTTTGAGTAATAATAATAATAAAGCTTTATTTATATAGCACTTTTCATACAACAGAGTAGTCCTGAGTCAGTCGTAATATTTATTAAGCTAAATTCCTGCTGCTTTAAAAAGGGATAGAGTATCCTCTAGTCGCCCATATTGCCTCTGACACTAATGAATTCCCTGGCTGCACTCGGCGTGGCTTTGATGCCACACTGAATCTACACCCTATGATGAATTAATCTCTGTGGGATATAAGGGCTGCAATATAATTCACTTACATACCATGGATTAGTTTATAATGAACAATAAAGGAGTACATTATTTTTCACTGCTTTAGATAAGGAAGTCAATCCCCATATTCTCACATAATGTGCTAAAAGGATAGAAAAGAATGCTAAATCCACCAACTCATTATGATATAGGGATGTGTTTCATCCTGTTGTGACAGTGATTTCAACAGCTCCTACTAGATCACCAAAATGTCCTAAAGGTTCAAAGCAATAGTTAGGCTTCTTCAAAAGATAATTTTATTGATTTTTTGTGGATAATTTGATGAAAAGCAAGATTATTTACCATGACATCACCAGTTGGTTTTAGACTACTGTTTTTAAGCCTTACATTTTGCATTTTCGCTGCTGCCATCTTAGTATTGGGGACTAGAAGTCACAAGTTAACTTAATACTTTTATGCAACCAATATATAGCTTTTAACTTTTACGAACTGAATACACATTGTGAAAGGGTTAAAGTTGGAACGCTAAAGGAAAAGAGCAAGACCAGACAACGATAGCAACATGTCAACCATAAAGAAGCCATGGCCTAAAACATACCCTGCTTTATCCTCTAAATTCAATCCAGATTGGAACATAATTTACAAAATTAAAATCACGTTTTATTGAAGATGTGGAACCAACACATTTATATACAAAGAATTGCAGGTTTAATGCTCTTCAGTATTTGCTTGACTCTAAAAGACATGGACAGTTTGCCTGGACCAAATGTAACAAAACCACCTGACTTAACTTAAAGGTGACCTATCATGCAAAATGCACTTTTGTACGTCTTTTATACATGAATATGTGTCCCCGGTGTTCCAGGGAACTCACCAAGTGTCAGAAAACACAACCCTCTCTCTTTTCCTCCATACCCAAATCTCTTAAAAAGGAGCTGCAACGGATCTGATACAGACTGATCCAGATTTGAACACTTCTGTGACGTCACAGAAGTTGCGCTACGGCTATTGGTCCAACTCCACTAATCAGGAGGAGACAGCCACGAACATTGCCGTTCGAAAGCGCTGGAAACGCTGTAGTACATATGCCAGGCCTGTAGATGGTGCTGTTCTCACAGAATCAGCCCATGCAAAGACAGTGTTAAATTGAGCGAAATGAGGAATGGCTAAAATGCATGATCTGTTAGGTATTTTGAAAAATAAAAAGTATAAATATGCCTTATATAGGTATGGTCCTACACTATATTATTCAAATATAGCATGATAGGTCCACTCTAATAAATTCACAATCAAAATGTTCTTCTTTATCTAACGCCTACAAACAATGAAGAGGTGAGCTAAGTGTCATGAGAAAGACCACAATGGACAACCAAAGAGGGATGGAAAATGGCAGGGTGATGCTCCGGGCAGGGCACACGTAGAAGGCAAGCCTTGGCCAGAGACTGAAGGTGTACCACTGAATAAGAGGGAATGCTCTTCCTGAATAACATAATATATTGGCTTGAATAAACTTATACAATATGTTTTCTGTTAATGTATGGCAAACCGGGGTCTTCCTTTATTACAGGAGTAAACCTGAATGCCATTATTCATTCAATACTCTTATTATTTGTCAATCTCATTATGTCTGTCTCACTCTCTCTGTTGTGACTGAGTGTTGCTGTCTTTCTTTTTGGTTGGTTTATTCTGTTCATCTCGGAAGATAGTGTTTTTTTACCTAGCCTTGGGGTGACAAATTGCATGAATATATTTTCAGCTTCTGTTTCCAAAAGCAATACACTGAATTCAACCATTTTATTTTTTTCTTTGCCACACATGAGCCCATGTCCTTAACAGGCCAACAGATGTGACCTTTCTGTCATCTGAACATCTGCTTCTTATTGTACACTCGTTTCACACACGTGACATGCTGATGCCTATAGAAGGTGATTTCATAAACTTGCCTCCCACTTTACCCGGAAAATTCAATTTTCTCCAGCTGAGCAAAGGCTATTCCTGGAACATTTATAGTGTGAAGATCAAAACTTTTTTTGTCCAGGCATACAAATAAACACCTCATGTGTGCGAATATCTGACACAATATACGAGAGGTCACACTTGAAAGACACACATATTTTCTTGCTATTCCTGTTGCTCTTCTTTGTTTACAAAATATATATATATATATATATATATATTGAACCATTCTAAAAAAGTGTGCTTTATCTCACTGAGATCAGACTTCAGTCTTGTATAGGTCCCAGCAGCTATGTTTACTTATTACAGGCTACCAATAAACACAACCCTTAACTAAAAAAGCAGTGTGAGGAGTCATGGCACCAAGCCCAGATTATGGCCAGAGAGGTATCCCTAGGAACAGATCACAAAGTCAGAAAACATTTCAACGGCATGCTAATAAAGCAGGCTTGCATTTTACAGATAAAATGCAAAGACAAAAGTGTGTGCCCATCTCATGCCTCATTGCTGACCCTGTGTTTGGGGTTAAGAGGACAGGCAAAGTGGTTAACCTTGGGGCCAGACGGTTCCCCAGCAGGCTGAGGGGCATGCTGAGGAAGGCACTCTATTCTGCTGTCCCTCCAAGTCACTGCTGACACACAACATCCCACTGTAATTACTGAAAATCTAAACACACCCACAAAGAAACTCAGTTTCATACAACCACATACACAAATACACAAGCACAAGCTAAGCAGGCTGGTGTTTGGAGGAAGTACTCGGTGATTGGACTGTTAAAGTAATCATGAACCATGTCTCCTGGTGAAGTATCCCTGAGCAAGGCACCGCAATTTAAAGAAATTGTCCTATTCAAGTGCATGCCAGAGTCCAGACCCTATGACAGGCAGTGGCAGGGATATGTTGGGATCACTTTCAGAGCGGGTTTATTTACAATAAAAACACTGACAGCCAATCAAAATCCAATCGAATATGAAGGTGTACTGTATGTGTTCAAGACAGGAGGCTGCAATAAAGTGTAGTCTACTTATTGTAATATACTGCCTCTCTTTTCACCACACTCCTTCACCATGGCTGTGCTGCACAGCAGTAGCTATACTCTCAACTGTTTTGTTTGTCTTTTAATCATATCCTTATTTAAATTTCTTTCTTTACGCGATGTACAGCAGTAACAGGTCATCAACATCCTTTTTGGGGCCCCAACACAGCTGGACTGCGCAGCGTGGGCTCGGCCGGCGCCAGTGTTTACAGCAGTCATCAACAGTGTGGATGTTCACATTGTTATATTTATAGTTATGGTTTTATTTATTGTTCTTAGTGTGGATCACTCTTGAGTCCCACTTGATAAAAAAAGAAAGCAGTGAAATTATAATATGCCTATAATTCAGGCAACAGTTAAGATATTCAAAAGAAAATCCTTAAGTCATTAACATTCAACTTGAGCTGTGCTAATGTCACAGGCACTCTAGAGAATCAAATTATTCTGAACCACTCAAGGTAAATGTCACCACATGATGATGAAATGATCAGAAATTTCTCTTTTTTAACACAGTAAATTAAATGGATGCACGTAAGTCTTGTAATAACCTTAATTTGTTTTCAAAAAGACACTAACTAAAATGCCATACACGTCCAGAACTACTGACAACCTGATGCATTCAAAGGGCCATCAAGCAGGTTCTGTTCTGGCACTACAGTGAAATGGTCCTCTCTTGGTTGTAAAATGCTTATCCTGCACAAATGCTATTATTATTCAGTATAGCTAAAATAATTATGATCAAAGGTCCCATGTCATGGCCATTTCCATCCATCCATCCATCTTCTCCCGCTTATCCGTGGTCGGGTCGCGGAGGTAGCAGTTCCAACAGAGAGCCCCAAACGCTCCTTTCCCTGGCCACATCAACCAGCTCTGACTGGGGGATCCCAAGGCGCTCCCAGGCCAGCGAAGAGATATAATCGCTCCACCTGGTCCTAGGTCTACCCCTTGGTCTCTTCCCAGCTGGACGTGCCTGGAACACCTCCCTAGGGAGGCGCCCAGGTGGCATCCTAACTAGGTGCCCGAACCACCTCAACTGGCTCTTTTCGACGCGAAGGAGGAGCGGTTCAACTCAGAGTCCCTCCCGGATGACTGAACTTCTCACCTTATCCCTAAGGGAGACGCCAGCCACCCTGCGGAGAAAACCTATCTCGGCCGCTTGTATCCGGGTTATGTTACCTAGTTAAATACACGGATATTATTACTACACAGGAGAAATAAGACACACCTATTTTATTTTACCTTCTATCATAGTCTTTTATTAAGATTCAGCATTATTTTGTTAAGACACGTTATTTTTAAGAACTGTTTCAATTAAAAATAAAGTCAAAATACAAGTATGAATTTGACAATGAGCATACATGTCGTCTTTAAATAATAGTCCCAATCTGTTTTGATGTCTTTTCAGGGCATCGTTGTTGACAGGGCGTTATCAGACCCGCTCAGGTGTCTACCCAGGAGTGTTGTACCCAGGTTCTAGAGGGGGTCTTCCTCTGAATGAGACCACCATTGCTGAAGTGCTGAAACCTGTGGGCTATGCTACTGCAGCAATAGGGAAGTGGCACTTAGGAGTTGGTGCCAATGGGATGTTTCTTCCAACCAGGCAGGGGTTTGACCACTACCTGGGGATCCCCTACTCCCACGACATGGTCAGTGTGAATACATTTAGCTCCAAACTAAAATGACTGAGGTAATATGTGATAGTATTATTAAATGGGGAGATTTTGTCTAGAATATTTGTTGTCTCCCTGTTTTTCCCAGGGCCCCTGTAGGAACCTGACTTGTTTCCCTCCAGATATTAAGTGTTTTGGATTCTGTGATGTGGGTACTGTCACCGTCCCACTAATGCAAAATGAGGTCATCAAGCAGCAACCAGTCAACTTCCTGGAACTGGAAAGGGCTTACAGTGATTTTGCAACCGATTTCATTGCCACATCAGCAAAGAATAAACAACCTTTCTTCATCTACTATCCGTCCCATGTAAGCATCAACAATTTTAATTTGTAGAACATGTCCATGTCCATTTGAGTTTTCAAAACAAAACAATTTTTTGTAACCCCATGTAGATGGATAAGAACAATTCAGATGGTAAGCACTTTCTTCTAATTCCTCCCACAGCACACCCATTACCCCCAGTATGCAGGAGTGGAGGCCGCCGGGCATACTTTAAGGGGCAAATTTGGAGATTCTCTTTTTGAGTTGGACAACACGATAGGAAACCTACTGACAACTCTGGAGAAAACAGGAGTGATAAACAACACCCTCGTATTCTTCACTTCAGACAATGGGTTGGTTTTTGACGCCTGCTTTTATAGTTTCTTATGCAGACATGTTTATCTCCCACTCTGATAGCATTGGTACAGCTGTTAATTTTTTCTCTGTTCAAAGGTGAAGTTGCATTTTATCTTGCCCTTTTTTATCTTTGATGTATTGCCTTGAGAAAATGTACCCTTTATCAAATGGTGTGTTATTCATTTCTGTTCTTTAGGCCTGAACTGATGCGCATGTCCAGTGGAGGATGCTCTGGACCTCTGAAGTGTGGAAAAGGCACAACTTATGAGGGGGGGATGAGGGAGCCGGCCATCGCCTTCTGGCCTGGCACCATCAGGCCAGGTCTGGATTTCTTAGACATCAAGAGCTAAAACCACTTGGTGTATATTCCGTTGTCCCCATTTGCTTATTTCAGTCACATTTACTAAGCTACTGTATTTAAAAGCATACCACTTTACACTGAATTCATTAAAGAATCAACTGGTCTATGGCCAATTGTTGCCAATTTAACAGGCTGAATCGCTCTGAGAGCTGCAACATACTGCAAAAACAGGGCAACAAACGCTTCCTGAAGGCCAGAAGTGTGTGCCTTGTGTCAGGGTATTTAGTGAATACTGCCTTTTCCCCCTGTATGCCTCTCTTTAGGTGTGACTCATGAGATGGCCAGCACTCTAGATATCCTCCCCACTATCGCAGGTCTGGCAGGGGCCAAGCTACCGCAGGTGATGCTGGACGGGGTCGATATGACAGACATCCTTATCAACCAAGGAAAGGTAGTGGCTCACAGTCTATAGACTAAAATAATGTGTAAACACAGACAATGTTTTTAATTGTATATCTTCTCATCTTTTGCAGGGTAAAAGGGAAACCATGATGTTCTACCCCACAGATCCCAGTGAGATGTATGGCCTGTTTGCACTCAGGCTAGGGAAGTACAAGGCCCACTTCTATACACGAGGTACAGCAGGCCTTTTAAAACAAGTAGAATTGTCCATAGGCATAGTCACAGTCAGAACTGAATTATTTATAAATTATGAGTCATATTTGTCCATGTTTGTTCTCAGGTGCTACACACAGTGGGACTACTCCAGATCACGACTGCCCAGTATTTGCTGTCCTCAAGGCCCACGATCCCCCTCTCCTTTTCGACCTGGAGGCCGATCCCTCAGAGCACTACCCTCTCCAGCTTTTTGGAAAACCTGACCTCCAAGCCGTGCTGCAGCAGATCATACAAGTCAAGGAAAAGTTTGAGGCATCAATGGTGTTCGGAGAGAGCCAGATATCAAAAGGAGTCGACACTGACCTGGAGCCTTGCTGCAATCCTCAGTGTAGCCCCAAGCCGGGTTGCTGCAGGTGTTGATGGGACAAATCCCGCTAATAATGGCAATTTGGGAGAAAATTGAAGTACACACTGATTTTGACCTCAAGAGGTCTTTGTGAAAGCACCAGATGTGATGCTGATTTTGTAATCATTTGATGATGCATTGCTACATGCTTGTGGACAGATATGATAAAATGACCATTTGTACTGAAAAATAACATTGCACTAAGAATGTAGTGTATACCTGGATTTTTTATTACATGTTTTAATCATTGATTTATTATTTAATTTTCACCTCAACATTCTTGATATTCATAGCATTTAGCATGGATTTTATGTGATTTAAAAAAAAAATGATTTGCAGTCTATTTCAAACACACAAGCAATCATGAGATCTGAACAATAAAGACAAGAATTAAGGTTTCAGACATCAAGCATATATTTTATTCATAAGACCAAACCCATGACAAGGCAAAGTGATTTTTGTTGTAATTTTTTGTTTGCTTTTCCCTGGAATTTTGATTAACTCTACAAGTCTTTGTTTTTAAAGATACAAGATAGGATATGTTTGTTCTGTCACATACTGTTTTGCTCTAGGTATACAGTAAAGCATCTTGCTAATTGTAATAAAGTCCAAAGTTTTGTTTAACTGTTAGTGTATGTCTCAGCGGCTATATGGGACGAGATCATCCTCAGAGGTTGTTATTGTGTAGCTGTGTGGAAAGAAGGGGTCTTAACTAGGCTGTAACGAGATAGAGATACAGAAACAGAAGCAAATAGATACAGATCAGAGATGGGTCACATTGTTGGTGATAATCGGCAAGATGCAATAATAGTTGTTTCAATGGCATCTGAATGACTAACTTTTCAGCTCTAACAGCAGATTGGTCAGTAGTCTGTTATTGTCACACAATAATGATGTCGCATCTCACACAGGTGCCCTAAATGTGCTGCTAAAGCCTGTCTTCAGGGACTTAAGGAGGTTTCTGGAACCGTAATTCCATCTAAGTGACAGATACCGAGTGAAAAAACAGGAAAATAAATTATTGCAGATCACAGATGTGTTTTTCTTTTATTTCAGGGGTTTCTGTCTGCTTGTGATCTTTCCTTGAATTTCTTTTGAATAATGAACATAATAATTTCATAACATACTCAACATAAAGGACACAGCACTATCTTAGATTCACTATTGTATATACATAGTCTACCTGACAGCAATACATATAACAACCCTAAATCCATCCTGTCATATCAACAGTGAACTGAGGTGTTTGTTCTGGTGGACCGTGACTTAAAGCAGCAGAACAAGTTGCTAAACAGTGTCTGAAAGAACAATGAGGATAGTCAGAAAATTAATGGTCAGAAGCCTGCAGTGAGTGCATTGTTTTTTCAATTATACCCCCTCCCCTATATAAGGTGCTAGACTGTAAGCTATGGTATGCTACAACAACCCCAGTGCAGGTTATTGTGTGATGTGTGAATGATCCTTTCAACCTTTGAACCAAACTTAGAGCATTAAATAATTGTGGCCATCTCTCTTACCAATCGTACTTGAAAAAACAAGATTGAAGTCTAGCCATAACTATAAAACCTCCCTTTTAATGGATTATCAAAGGTTTGTTTACATTGTGACCCTCTCACTGTACAGTAAGCGCACTGCAGGACCTCATAACTAAACGTGGCTACCGCTTCAGTTTTCCCTTTCCCCTCATTGAAACTGACAAATTAAAATAAAACTGAGACTAGGGTGTCACACACAGTTAATCAGTCCGAGGTGCGAGAGTATGGCTTTTCAGAGGGTATTAGTTTTCTTTGAGCTGAAGGTCACACCAATCATAGCAAAGCATACAGTAATGTATGACTTTTAACAGTTTTAACAGTTGAATGATTATCTGTGAAAGCTTCCCAAGGTAAAGGTCAGCCAGTGCAGCTTTGAGGACAGGACAAAGGTAAAATGTCACCCTAAATGTGCTGAGAGTTACTGCACGTAATCCAAGCTGACTTAAATAACTGCAGGGCTAATGACATCCAAAGTATATTACAAGTCATTACTCTAAAATCTCTCCTGCAGTTACTCCTGTCAAAGTGAGTCCCGAATACCCATGACAAATCAAAATCCCCTCTATCAGTCTCAGCTGTGAGTGTTTGTGGATTAGTTAGTTAGACTGGATGAGACGCCTGTATTTCTACTTTCTATACATACGTATTTACAACACAAACTACGTCTTGAACGAGACACAGGGGTAAGCTTGGACCAAGGACGGTTCACTGTACTCTCTCTACTTTGCTCCAATGCCACTATCAGTAAAAATCAAATGAGCAGTTTGTCAATATTGAACAAATACATATTTACAGCTAATTAAACGCCAACTTCTTGATTCTACAACATTCCCGTACTGATTGTTGAGCTGCTTGCCATTCACTTGGATATGTGTATTTCTTGGTGTGTCTGTGTGCAGTAACCCTACTAGCCATGCATTGAAAGGTGAAACAGCAGTAGTAGGTATATTGTTTTCATTTCAAAAGAGGAACCTTAAAATAAACAAGTGCTCAGCGTTTTAGTTTTATATCATAGAAAAAGATAAAGAAACAGGCAATCATTCCATTGAGATAATGGAAATAAAGAGAGAGAGGGATGAAATCAGTCAAATGCCTAGCAGACTGTAGAAATTAAGATCCCAGTTTTAGAGGGACACAATGGAGAGAAGACCCCACTGACAGCGCCCTCTGGTGGCAAACTCGATAATCATACACAAGCTGCAGAGAGAGAAGGTAGTCGTCATGGCAATACTGCCTACTCCAGGTAGATGTCCTCGGTGGGGCAGGCGTACTCCAGATGTTCCTGGTAATACTCCTGGAAGGCCCGTCTGCGGATAAGGCAAGGCAAGGCAAGTTTATTTATATAGCACCTTTCAACAAAAGGCAATTCAAAGTGCCTTACAAAAAAGAAAGACATTAAGAGCATTATAAAATGATATCTAGAAACACTAATTTAAAAGCAATGAAAGCAAAGATAATAAAAGTTACAGTGCAGTTTAAGATATGAATATATCAATTAAAATCAGCGGCAAAAAGAAAAGTCTTCAGCCTGGATTTAAAAGTAGTAAGAGTTGCAGCGGACCTGCAGGTTTCTGGGAGTTTGTTCCAGATATTTGGAGCATAATAGCTGAACGATGCTTCTCCATGTTTAGTTCTGACTCTGGGGACAGAAAGCTGACCAGTCCCTGAAGACCTGAGAGATCTGGATGGTTCATAATTTAGCAGTAGGTCAGAAATGTATTTTGGGCCTAAACCATTCAATGCTTTTAAACCAGCAGCATGGTCATTCCTAGCATTCGGTGCCATTTAGGTCCCCACCACATTATATCATATATTTTGTATTTAAAAGGTCTAATGCTTATTTTTTTAAAAGCTTGGTTTTAAATGTTTATACCCTCTACCATAAAACAACAATGTTATTTAGCCAGGATATTAAAAATTCTAAATAATTACTCTGATTTTAGCACAAGTAGGCCAAATTGCTGTGTCCCCAATCATGTTTGCTCAACTTCTGTAACAGATATACAAAAAGAAATCAA